ATTTTACGGGCTCGGCCTCCCAATCCTATAATGGCAGATCTTCCGTCTTCACGTTTGGGTTATGGTTACCGTCCTTTTACTTTCTGTGGAATCGACTACTTCGGTCCTATATTAATTAAGATAGGTCGAAGACGAGAAAAACGCTGGGGTGTAATTTTTACATGTCTCTCTACAAGAGCGATTCGACTCGATCTATCTCACAGTTTGACTACGGGCTCAGCAATTATGGCAGTTAAAAGATTAGCAGCTGAACACGGTTTTCCTCAGGTCATTCATTCCGATAACGGCACAAATTTTAAAGGGGCTAGTACTGAATTAAGAGAGGCCATCATGAATTTCAACAAAAAATCTCAAGCAGATTTTGCCTTAAAAAACAATTTTACCTGGAAACTAATTCCTCCTACAGCATCTCACATGGGTGGAGCGTGGGAAAGAATGATTAGAATTGTCAGGGAAACTTTAGAAGTTATTTTAAAAGAAAGAGTCACAACTGAAGAAATTCCTAAAACCTTACTTGCCGAAGTTCAACATTCAATTAACTCAAGGCCTTTAACTCATGTTTTTGTCGATCCTTGTGATAAAGAAGTCCTTACGCCCAACCACTTTCTTTTTGGTGCATCTTCCGGTACATTACGTTTTCAGAAATTTGAATATCAAAATACTTGTCCTAGAAAACAATGACGGTAGCCTCGATTCTTAGCGGATTGTTTTTGGCGTCGTTAGTTGCACGAATATTTGCCATCATTAATACCAAAAAAAAGTGGTTAAGGACAGATTTTCACTTAAAAACTGGCGATCTAGTTTTAATTTTAGATAATCAAACACCACGAAATACTTGGAAAAAAGGCGTAATTGTAAAAACTTTCCTAGGATAAGATAAGGAGGTTCGTGTGGCAGAAGTCAAAACTGCTAACGGACTTCTTACTCGACCAACGCGTAAACTGATTAAATTTGGTGAATCATTATAATGCGATTTTTGTTTGAGAGGGGAGAATGTTACCAACGTATATTTGTAAATGTTACCTTCTTTCTTTGTTAACTCTGCACTGTTCGTTTTTCAATACTAACACGTATTTATTTTGCCTTTTAATTGCTAGTGTTCTATTTTCACCGGGCAAAGGGCATACAGGACCCCGAGACCTAGGCTACGTGCACGAATACGGATGCCGTAAAACAATTTCAATTTTAATTGTCGCAAAACACTAGCTGATTCTTTGCTTACATGTAATCTTAAATGGTTACCTCTTGATGCAACTCACTATGGCGCGAACCCTTTCTCTTCAATTGATTATTTTTATTTACTTGATGATTCGAATCTCTGTTTATACTCACAGCATTATCTGCCAAGTATTTCGGAACATGAAGTTATTTTAGCTTATTTCACCTACAATCGCATTAAAGCTGCACCCAAAACAGTGGTGCGTCGCTGCTTTAAAAACCTTGATTATACGCGTTTCAGGCAGGACCTAAGTGCGATAAATTTGCAGCCTATCACTGCTGCCGCAGATGTAGACGATAAGGTTTATCTCTTCTTTAGTGCAATATTAGAATTATACGATAAGCATGCGCCTTTTCACACATTCACCATCCGTGCTAGTCGTCCGTCGCCATGGATAACTTCTGAGCTGCGTAACATCTTAAAGCTTGAAATGCTGCATGTCCTAAATACAATCGAACTCGTACGGAGGCCGACAAAGCCATCAGGAATCAATTACGTACTCGTGCTAAAGTGGCAACACGTGATGCTATTAGACGCTACCACAGGCAAAAATTTGACAAATGCAAAACGCTTTGTGATTTTTGAAATTGCGTTAACGAGATTGGTTTGTCGAACGCACCAAGAGCAACTGACAGACTTCCGGTTGATCTTAATGAGCTCAACAGGCACTTTGTCAACAATAGTACTGTTGGCAATAGCGCAACCGCGTGCATTCCACTTACGAAAGCCAATGATGAGAATCGATTTTTCTTCAATCATGTCAGCGGTTTTGATGTCTTCGACGCTATTCGCTCGGTGCGATCTAACGCTTGTGGACCTGATGGCATACCACTGCGCTTCCTGCGCGATTGTATATTTTACATTATACCTGTTTTACTAAATATATTCGATACGTCGCTACAGTCCGGAGTCTTCCCATCCGGCTGGAAACAAGCCTTAGTGCGACCTATCCCTAAGATAAGCACGCCTACGGCTTTGCGTGACTTTAGATCAATCAACATCTTGTGTGCTACCTCAAAAATACTTGAAGCGATAGTCCATAAACAGGTGTATAAATTTATTATGCAATGAAATTTGTTGAATCCTCTTCAATCAGGATTCCGTAAATTACACAGCACTCACTCAGCGGTTGTCAAAATGGTCGATGATGTTCTAGTTGCTATTGATCGTCAGCAGATCACTTTATTAATAACTATTGACTTCTCGCGAGCGTTTGATGTAGTTGACATCCAACTACTCTGTAACAAGTTGCATAATACGGGATTCTCTGCGTCTGATTGTAAGTGAATCCACTCATATATGTCTGACCGCACCCCGGTAGTTGCCTCATTCTTAAACGAGTACTCTCATCCATTAGGTAGAAGCGCTGGTGTACCAAAGGGCTCAATTTTAGGTCCGCTACTCTTTTCGCTATTTATAAACGACATCAGCTCCGTTCTTTGCCATTGCTCGTATCACTTATACGCTGACGACTTTTGTATTTGCGTTAGTAGATCACTGAAAGATATACCCGACATGGTTCGTCCAGTCAATGAGGACCTTAACAGCATTGCCAACTGGGCACGATTAAATCGTCTCCTCATAAATACTGATAAGACCGGTGCTATGTGATTCGGTTCCAGGCATTTTATGTCCAAGCTCTCTTCAACTTCAATCCCTGACATTTTACTAAACAATAGCATCGTTCAGGTTACTGATACGTTAAAGATTTTGGAAATTACGCTTGACTCGACGCTTAGCTTCAGAACTGAATGCGGTATCATTACACGAAAGTGCTCAGCTGCTATGTACCGTCTCCAACGATGTGACGACTCGTTGACGCTTCCCTGCAAACTCACTTTTGTCAAGGCGTTAATCTTGCCATATTTTGATTACTGCTCTGGACTGTTTAGTGAATTCTCTAATGAGCTTGCGTTAAAACTGAATAGAAGTATGAACGCCGCTATCCGGTTTGTAACCGGCGTTTGGAAAAGTGATCATATTTCTCCTTCGTACATCAAACTTAACTTACTGCCGTATGCGTACAGAATAGAGTACTTAAATCTTTCATTTCTTGCATCTATCCTCTGCAACGATGAGCCAGTATATCTCGCGGTTAGGTTTAACTTTAGGCCACCTAATCGGCTTGGATCGAAGCGTGCGTCGCACTTCGATCTAGCACAACACAGCCCTCACCTTGATTATCTACGTGATTCATTTTTCGTCTCAACAATAGATAAATGGAACAAGTTTCCGGTTAGTGTAAGAAAATTGTACAACGGGCCTTGTTTCAAACAACACTTATACGTACATTCGTTTAATAGATTTAAGTGCGTGAAAGCGTAAAATTGTGGTATGCGTACCAAAGATTTGTTCTATTTTATTTCATTTTATTTTACTTTATTTCATTGTATTTTATTTTATTTTATTCCTTACTTTTATTTTTTTTTAATTACTTACTTTGTACCTGAACTGCTTCTGCTGTAAATACTACATTACTTATGTATTATCTTTTGTAATATTTTGTCTTAAGCTATGGCTAGACAGGAACTTTAGTCTATGACTTCTGGATCCTTAGCCGTCAATAAACTTTAACTCTAACTCTAACTCTAACTCTCTTTCGCTCTCTACTGTACTCATACAAGTAGGCCTTTTTATTGCTTTTTTTAATATTTTGTGCTTGTGAACAATGATTAGTTAATATCAGAATCAGTATCATTTTTTCATAATTTTTAAAAAATTTCTCCTCTGTGAACAGGATTATTTTAAAATATAACTATTTGACCCTAATGCAAAATTTTCCCAAGTTCTTTCAAATGTGTTTATTCGAACTCCATCTTAAATCTTCTTTAGTAAAGAGCCAACTCAGCTGAATTCGGGCATGTGCGCAACTACGCACAGTAAACAGGTATCCGAATCCGAAAAGAGACAGAGAGACAGAGAAAGTAATACACACGAACATTTGTCAAACTAATGTATGAACCTTTGTGTAGGTGGGTAGTATAGATACTCTTCGCCGTTTATTATTGTTCTTTCTTGTTCTCGTTGTTTATATGTTAATTAACAAAAAAAAATATAAACATAAATTTGCTTTTTCCTAATCTATAATATTCACTGATCAAAATACATATCTATAAATAAACTGTCTTTTGAATATAAAAATATGAAATGAAGATTATTTAGAGTAAAAAAATAAATACCTTTCCTACCTCGCGCTTTCTTGAGAGGCTTGTGTGCGCTCGGTAGAAAAAATAGGATTCGCCACATAAGCGCCATTGCTCCATGGCTGCCTTACGTCCCTCGGGCTGTTTCGCGTCCCTCGAGCCGTAAAATAGCCCTAGAGACGATGATACTTATCTGACGAAAACTACTATTTTCATCATAGACTATCAAATACTATCGACTTCAATAACATATTCTTTAATGTTTCATATCTGTCGTGGGTCCCGCGACCCACACATAGTTTTTTTCCGTTAGTTTTATTTATTTATTTATTTTTTAAATTTTAATAATAAAAATAGCGCAAAGCAATGAATGCGCATTACGGGGTTATCGAGATGGCAAGCTCAGTTCAGACAGTACTAGAGAGAAGATTAAAGCAGTTCAGAACTCAAAATATATTTGTATGCGCAGTGCCATGTTTGAAATAGATATGTGCTGATATATTTTTTATTGTAAACCGAAGGCTTTTCTCTGTAACGCTCTCTGAGCTGAGCTGGCCAATTCAATATCTTCATAGTGATACAAAATTTTTGAATGAAAATAATAGTTAACCATTTAATAAAATATGTAATTTTTATAGGTTGTATCCAGTAGATAACAGCCGTATAGATTCCTTAACAATGGAAGAAGATCCAGTTAAAATCGACACTACAGTTTCTCTTAAAAAGGAAAAGTAACTTCAGGCTTACGTTACCTTCAATTTGTATTAAGAAATTTAAAATTCACTTTACAGTTCAACTCTTAGTGATGAATAAAATTATATGGATCACGAAATATGTCTGAAAAAATTAATCGATGTTTATACTCTAGGTCTATAAAAATAAAGTAAAGTCTGTGAAAAATTTTTATTTTCTTACCCTTATTAACATTATAAAATTGGTAATAACTCTGAACCTTATTCTGTGATAAGTTTACTCGAAGAAAAGTACTTTTTCCGCCCTCGGGTGGTTTTGGAAGGCTGGTACTTCCTCGGGCAAAAAAGCAGTTTTCCGATACTCGTTCGAAAAGTCTCCTTTATGAACCTCGTTACGGACCTCGCCTTCGGCTCGGGCCGCAAACCTCTCGGTTCGCAAACAGAGACTTTTCAAACTCGTAGGAAAACTACTATTTACACATCAAATTCATGAAAAAAAAGTTGGGCCAAAAATTCGCATTTCAGGTCAAGAAGACTCCAAAGTTTTAGTTAAAGTAATTTTAAGATGTCAAGAGAATTGATCCCTACCCGTGTAAATAGTTTTCTTCTACAATAAATATTTTAAGATTAAGTGTGAAAATATAAATAATAAATAATGTCTCTGAAACTTGAACCCTAAATTTTCAAATAATAATAATTAAACATTTGCTGATTTTTTCATTCATACTAGCTTTTTGAGTCAGTACTGTCAGTAGGTATTATTATAGAGATTTTGACATGTGAAACATTGTATTTATTAAATAGGTAAGTGACCTTGAGCTTGCTACTTGTTATAGCACCAAAATGAAACCGACTAGTTTCCGCGGTCAAGAAAAAATAAATTCAAGGAGGCGAAGTTAATGTTTTAAATATTTATTAATACAGAGGGGACCGTGTAAGTAAGGATAATATTTGTTTTGGATTCTAGTTTGAATTGTCATGTACGATGTAATATCAAAAATATGTGTGTGAGAAACTATTTATAACAAAGACAAGTGTTAAATTATTTGATGACTAGTTTTCATCATATTACGGAGCATAAGTTATTAATGCGTGATATTTAATTGATCAAGTCCGAATAATATCGTTTTTCATTGATTTTAATTTACAGTCATTATTGTTTGGTTTTTCTGGGTATTCTGTAACTTTCCCTAAATATGATTAGAAGGACATTAGGTCAATAGTTGAAACTCTTTTAGTGCTAACAGTGCTAGTGCTCGCATTCGATCCATCTTAGAAAAATTTTAGGATGACCCATTCCCCAAAGAACTTACTTTAATATCTTGGCGCATGAGCTTTACTTCTATGGTGTCGACTTTCTTTGTGGATATCCTCCTTTTTTACGATACCAGATTTCTGCTGGGTTATTAGTGATGAGTCGTCCGTCGTCGTTGCAGTACTTCTTATTATTAGTTTTTGATAGTTTTTGAACATAAGTGAAAGAAAAATCGAGTGGAGAGATATTTTTCGATGTTCTAGATCTAAATTCAACTTTACTACATCTGCATTCATATATACCTCATGCCAACAGATAATAAGAGCACTCCAATTCTGTATTTTAAATAATTTAGGGTTTATTTAATCTTAAGAGACGAGCTTCAATTTGTATAATAATTTGTATATTGGATTTGGTTTACATATAAAAATAAAACAAATTTTGATTGTTGCATTTAAATTGTTTTTGTCGGAGTTACAGTAAAAAGAGGGTAGAATACAAGCTCAACTTCTCATTATCAACCATTTTCTGGGACTGCCGTGCTCTACCAACGCTCGCTTACTCGGTCACTTCGCTCTTTTGAGCCACATAGTCCGTTATAATGACGTGATATCAAATAATGCGTATGAGTAATTTTCTATGTGTGTATAATAATTATAAATGTATAGATTTTATGAAATGTTTTATTATACGGGAAATTCCGTCACAGTATGTATTATCCATACCAAATTATCCTGCAACCTTACCTACATACTTATTTTCAGAATTTCCTGCAGACATTCCGCAGACTTTCCTGTATGTTTATTGTGCCTAAATCCTGCAGACTGGGCTGTCTTGAAATTTCAAAAACAGTTGTGCCCAGATCCATTTATTAAAGGTAAATCAGTCAAGTTTCGTGTTATCATCCGGAAAAACTGCAAATTAAATAAAAAAATTCTTTTGAAAAAAATTGTTTAAAAATACTTAAACTTCCCAGTTACAGTATTATCATCCATATAATACCATTTATGTCTGATATTCGCTCCGAGAATAAAGTAAGAAGGGATAAGAGAATCTATGCCAGCGCTCATGGTGGCGAATGTGCACGATCTAAAGGTACTCTACTGAACCAAAGTCAATATCATGTGTTGTTTTCATTAAATATTTTGAAAAACAGAAAGTATAGAGGAAAACATGTTGTCATTATCATTATGGGAGTCAAGATTTATCCATACAAATTCTTCAAATCATGAAAATTTGTCAGCACGTATTAATTAATAAACATTGGAAGTACCAAAGCAGTGATCTCGTCTGCTCTACGCACATCGTACTTGTATGGCAGACGAAAGCGTGTGGTTATCGGTCAGTCAGAGTTCTGAAATATGTCTGTCCAAACCTTTAAACCGGAATTTAAAAGAATGGTTTTATAAGTTATTGAACTCATACTCACAGATTGAAACAGTGTAATGATGTTTAGAATCACTGAACTACTTTGTTATCAGATTATTATTATCAATAATATAATGATTTCTTCGTAAACTTATATTTTTGTTCACTAACACACAAAAGAGTATATTTCCGTACCTTCAGAGTGCCAGTTTTGATCAAGACCGAAGAGCACTGCGGTCATTCTCGGAGCGAATGCCTTCAGTTAATTGGATTTGAACACAACTTTTTTTCTTGAAAATTTGAAACAGCCCAGTCTACAGAGGAGTCTGCCAGAATTGCTACAGGGGCCTTAATTTAAACAAAAGTGATCCCGTTTCGTGACCGTCAAAGTGCTGGGGTTGGGTAGAACTCGAATATATTGACCGTAAAAATGTTACAAAATTTTGTTTTTGTGTGCACCTCGACCTTTCTACGCTGAAGTATATCCGCATACATCGAGGGTGGAGTTTGTAATGAAGCTTCTGTTTAATGATTTTTTTTTTTTTAATGTAGCCTGCAATTACAAATCACTGGTGAATAAATTGAGGGAGGAAATTCAAAATGGTTAATGAAATAAAAAATAATAATAGTAATAATAATAATACGCACGAAATAATTAAAACAACCCATTAGATTAATTGCACGTATGAATGACCATAGTACCAAAGTTCTGTACATTTTTAAAAATATTTATTTAAGTTTCAATCTTGTAACAATCTCTATATTGTTAATAACTGTTACTTGCAAAAATACAGTTGTACATAACTTAAAAGTAAAATCCTACAGAATACGTTATAATTATTGAAGATAAACGAAAAGTAAAAAGCTTTTAAGCCCTGCGTAAAAGTGAAACCGGTGACCCATAAGCAGTGCTACAATCAATCTTTTTCATACATATTTTATACATATGTATGAGATGACAACGTTCAACATTAGAAGACTTAATTTACAGTTACTCGAAACTTGGTAGGTACGTAGAAAAAATTAGTTTGTGATATATTAAACCGTAAACACACAGTGAAATAAGATGATTGTACTTTAAATGTACTGTTACATGTAATGTTTGTGATGATAACTTTTATCTATTTACCTACCTACTATAACTTACAGTGACCAAGAGCCTGTTGGTTAATGTACGATAGACATGGGGCGTTGTAGATGTGCTTTACGCATTTTCAGTCCATCTTCATCATTAAAAACATAAGTGCAAAATTCATACTTAAGTGAAGTAAATGCTTCTTCCTGATGAATAAAAACATGCAACTTTTACAATATGTTGTCAAATGAAGATTTTTGTAGGCCATACACTTTAAGTAGAAATGTATGGTGTAAAGCTCTGTTAATCGAGGAGAGTAGAGAATTACATGTGGATGTCGACCAACGTTATCGTTTTATGTACAGGTATACAGTATTTATGCATAGTGCTCCCAAATACATACTCATATTAGGACTGGTGGATCCTGGCGCCTTCTGGCCCGAGCTTTACATTATAGTGAACTATACATTCCTAATTGGTAAATCATTCAATTTATAAAATAGAAAAGTAAACAGTCAATAGAAATGATTTCCTGATTTTGTTTCAAATTTACAATTATAAAACTCAAAAATGCTAACGTTAAAGATGTCAAGTAATATCTTTGAAAATTACCCTTTGAGCAGCTCATTGAGGACTTTGAGCACCTCCGGTGACACCGCTAACACTATCCTTGGATAACTAGATAAAATCGAAAAACTGAAAAAAATCGATTTTCAAAGAAACAAGCTACCCACTTCTGATTTGCTAGTGCCTCTGCCATTGGAATCCTTAAAAATAGCTAAAGGGAGTAGTGTCAATGTTGTCAGATTTACATAAGTGAAGTGTACGTACGTATACAGGTGGGTGATCAGTGGGGGAGGGCAACAAAAATCGGTCGGAGGATATGTGGAATGACCCACACAAACAACTATTACATATGATTCGCCTCTTCTGTGCCCTCTGCGCGCCAACCCCTTATAAATAGATAGTAACTTTGAGATTAGGACTTTTTCACTAAGTTTTTTTTTCAGTTTTTGATTAATTGACTATCTATTATTATATTACTTTAATTATAGTTATTAAAAATTACACATTACAAAAATTGTATTAGAACAGTATTTTTCGTTATTTTCTTAGTAGTTATTGCAACACAGTAGCCCGTCACTATAAACCACTACTACCTGGTGAGAGTTTCTGAACAGAGCCACTGTGCCGCCGTATACTTACTAACTTACCATAGGAGAGGGTATCCCCTCCTTCTACACCTGAACTGGAGAGACTTTTTGGGCAGGCCACCGTACATACCCCCCCTCACATTAAGATTATCTGAACCCCATGTACATACATGTATGTGTTTTATTCTTAAATAATTAAATTACCGTACGAAGATAGATTGAGAGAAAGAGACAACATAATAGAGTCCTCGTCATAGTATTGGTTTTGCTTACGGCTCTAATTTGAACGTTTTATACTTTTCGGAAGTTCTGAGTATT